CAAATTTAAATTTAAAATGAACTATCATACTAAATCTACATGCTTAAGAAAAGGTTGAAACAGCGAATACTTACATATTCCAAAGTCGTTCGTGCCGAGGTATTCCGAAGTCATAAATTGATTGGTCAGGCTTGATTTGCCGACCCCAGGAGCTCCTAGCATTAGAACTCTGAAGAAGTAATTAGCTGGCTCGGTTTGGGCCCTAGGGCTCTCACTCTGAATAGAAACAGCGTGAATAACACCAGATTCGACGGATTCACCGGTAGAGTTAGAACCATCGCAATCAAATAGTAGCACTGGAGTACAGTTAGTTTGCTTCCGTTTGAAAGAGTCACCGTGATTAATAAGGCCTTTAGAAGTAGTCTTGAACGACCTCACTCTCCTTAAAGGTTCTCGCTCCCTCTTACCGTCAGCTCTAAGGTTTTCCTTTAAGGAACTGACCCTCCTTAAGGACTCGTCACTGCCGTCACTGTTTCCCTCACTCATGGTCGGACATGTGGTTGGTACTGATAGGTAATTCTTGAAGCTACCAGACGGCAAGCTGCTCCTGCGTTTGCTTGATTTCGACTGGTTTCGCGCTGAAGCAACTGGTTTATGAACAGACTGGGCTCTGAGCCGTGGAATACAAGAGCCTGCACACGTTTCATCTGTAATTTTAGTATCGGATATAGAATCAGCTCCCTGATGGATTTTACTAACCGTCTTTTTTGAGGTTTCTTTGAAGCTCTGGCTTCTCCTTGGACCATCGGGCTTGTCCACAGTCATAATGATGGAGCAAGTGCTCTCGGGTTTCATTAAAAGAATAATTGATACGACACGTGCAGTAATTAGTAATGTCATATAATTTCAGATAGTCTTATGTCAACAAGACCATGGGATTTCTCACAGGTGTTTCTCTCAAAGAACCATTTCTGTCTAATATCTTGTCATTGCTATGTAGTCTCTGTTCTCCCTGCAAGAGGTAATTGGTTCTGAGACAAACTGCTGGCAACGTCCCTAACGACTACCCATTGGTAGGACAAGACCTGGTCGATTTATTGAATGATTTAATTCTGTTCTACCACGCAGCGCCTTATCAAATCAATCCCGATAATGGCTGTTTACCGAACAATACAAAATCTCGGTAGATTCACTCAATCGACCTACTACTGACGCACAATCCGTGTGATTCTGACAGAGATCTTTATTTTGAAGGGTCAGCAAACAAACCCACTCACATATAATTCGTACCACGTTTGACCTTACGTGCTTTGGTCAATTTTTTTGTTTTTTTTTAATCGCAACTACCATTGTTTGGTAGTATTCATCAGAACGTGTAACATCTACTTATTGATTTTACGTCTATATTTAGCTTGTCCATACCTTATTAATGGACATGGGTATAAAATTTTACAGTGAAACATGTGTTGAGTCATAAACACTTGCATCAAAAAGTGTAGGACGTACTGGAAAGCTTCGGGCATCAAAAAATAACAGGACACTATTGATTGCATTTTTACCTGATGCTGTTTTTAATATTATGTCCTATCTTTGGAAATGGTCTGAAGCATTAACTAATCAACTCTCTGAGAAGCTTATCGAATTGGTCTCGTCTATGTAGTTCGAATCAAATCTGTTCTGTTGTGCTGCTTGAAGTACTTAAATAATAAGAATATTGGAGATAAAACAAAATTGTTGAATGATTGTGACAATGTCTAATTGTTCCAGACACAAGAATCATCTTTACTAGTTAAGTACAACGGGATAATACATTGCAGTACTATCTTTTCTGATCGAGCGAAACAGTGGCTTTTTGTCGAACGTGAATTATTCGAATCATGTCATGCAGGTGCAGGTATGGATAGTTTTGAGAGAGCAGGTTCTTAAAACTTTAGGAATGAGGACAAGTGTTAAGTAAAATATCTTTATAATTAAAACATGTGAAGAATCTGTAAGTATTTAATGTAAATGTGACTAAAATGAACTAAATACAGTAATACTCTGTTAGAAAGCGTTGCTAGTTTTAGAATAAGGCACTATGAATGAAACCTGCTATTGTGTCTCGACACTGAGGAGATAAACGTTAAACTTAATCTCAATTCACAGTCTCTGCAATACTGTCCTTGGTAAAGTAACAACTATGCTTTTAAGATATGTCGGAGCTAATCTTGGATCAATAAAATGTATCTGTGTGTGTGTGTGTGAGATTGATTTAGATTTTTAACGTAGTTTTAACAATTTTTCAGTCAAATCGCTACGATGTCTGCAGTGAGACAGTTTACAGTGATGTCTAGCACTAGGTCTTCATATCAGATTTTTAGCATGATGTCCCACCCAGTCACATTATCCTGACACCAGGACGACCAGTCCTAACACTAACCTCTTAATGCTGAGCTCCAAGCGATGCAGCTGTGAGTATCGTTTTGTAAAGTCTTTGTTATGACTCGGTCGGGGTTCGAACCCGCGGCCTACCGCATCCTAGTCGGACGCTTTAAACACTATTTAGGCCACCGGAGCGGTCGCATCGAAAAGTAAAGTAATTTTCATTTCATTACGTTACAATGCTTGATATATATATATATATATATATATATATATATATATATATATATATATATATATATATATATATATATATATATATATATTGATCTCCAGTAATTTATTTAGATTGTTTTTGTACAATGATGAGTTGAGAGTAAATCATATGGAACAACATATTTTTGTTGCTAACCTTTACAGCTGCCGATACTGTGCCTTTGCTATTAAATAATAACGTTTATCCATCTTACATTTCTGATGCATCAAATCGAATGACCACGATCATATCAAAGTTTTCCTAATGTACAATAATTATATAAAGTATATTCACGCTGTTTTTCCACGTTTCTGGAAGATATAACATTAAATGATGGTTTTTAAAAAGTCATTCATTTTCAAAGTTATTGAACACTGGATGTTCAGTGTTATGTTCAGCCATCCACATTAATATTCTTTGCACGAGATACATTGCTAGAATGCGAAGTCACGTGTGAAAGAGTGGGTTAAGCTGTAAGCGTTCCGAGCATTTACCTCAGGCTCCATTTAGAGGGAATTTGACCTATATAAGGAATAGTTCACTCATAAACACAAAAGTTTATATTTAGCTACTCTTTAAGCGAGCTGCGATCCCTAGATTCAGGAAACTCTTCCAGTAGCGACAATATGCTAAGACAGATATGCTTACAGCTCTAAACTTGGAAAACAGACAAACACTACAGAATAGAATAAAATAAACATAAAGGTCGGAAACTCAATGACTTACAAAAAGAAATAGGTAGAAATGTTCCCGTTTCAATCCATGCGAACCTTTATGACTCTAAAGCGAAAACTAGACTCAAAACTGTACAGCACTACTAGCACTAGCGACATTGCCCCACTCCAGAAAGACTTCCACAGTCTAATTACATTCTACGTGAGGCCTTGTATATTACAAACGAGGATTTTTGACGGATTACGCAAAGTCAAAGAACCGCCATCTGTGCCAAGTTTCTTTGGGGAGAGAGGGATAACCAATACTATATATGATTCTCTCGCAAATTAGACTGTATACGACTTCGTCTAAAAGCTAATGGAATTCAATATGCTGCCAATTATTATTGATACGTTAAGGTAGATATCAGATAAGTATACTCATTGGCTGTTCATCTCGCTTCTTGCTAGAAGTTGGGACTAAGCGACAATTAGATCGTGTATAAACATTCCTCATCCTCGCAAAGTAAATGGAAACAAGGGTATGAGACGCAGGCCTCGTCCTATAATGCACTTGAAAGTGCCGTAGTAGCCTTTAGTTTTGATTTGTTCTAACAAATAACAGATAAGCTTTCCAGGTGGAAGTAGTAGAGAGGGAATTATGTTCTTATTGTACTCCTTAACTGGCTTGAATAGTCATCTATGTAAAACCTCATTAAAGAGCTCTGTCTAACATTCAAACCCACAATATTTACTGCTTGTTGCGGAAATGATGAATTATTAATACATTTGTCGACGAAATAGTAGCAGATGTTACTTTTAGATGGTTGTATATACTTCAAAATCTTTGTTAATAAGCATTGAACCTCGCATACGTTTGTGGGTTAGTAATTTGGACACAGTTAGGGATTTTAATTTCGTTTTCATCCAAAAAGATTAGTTCGATAATATGTAAATAAAAGCACAATATCTTATACATAATTTTATATCTCCAACATAATACTATATCTCATACAAAAGACAAAGCATTGAAAAACTTATTTGTTCTCTGACACCTGACATTAAAACCTGCTTTTACACTTTATGTGGTCGTCGAAAATTATCCATTGTCTCTTATATATGTTGAGGTGTAATTTTCATCACACACATGTGGCTTTTATAAATGTTATTCTTGTCGTCGAAACTTTGTTCAAATGCCAAAAATTAAAACAAAAAGAAAATACAAAAAAACAAACAACAAAACAAGCAAGCATTGTCCATTGTCTCTTATGTGTTGAGGTGTAATTTTCATCACACACATGTGGCTTTTATAAATGTTATTCTTGTCGTCGAAACTTTGTTAAAATGCCAAAAATTAAAACAAAAAGAAAATACAAAAAAACAACAAAACAAGCAAGCAAACAAATTACTTTGTATTAGATCTCATTTTGCGAAACCTTATTCGTACCATAAGCTAAATAAACACAGAAATATTTAATCCGAAATATTATGTCTCTTATGTCTAATAAATGTGGCGGTGGTCGACGTGTGCTTCATTTACTCATATATTGATTCTACTGCCATGCAAGAAATATTATTATAAAAATTAAAGTTTTGTTTGTTTTGTGGGTTAAAGGCCATTTTTAGCGTGAAAGTCTATGCATGACGGCCAGTATATAAAGATGACAAAGAACCCATCAAGAACCACTGACACGCAATAAGCTACTGACAAGCTTTTTCACCTAACAATAATAGACGAGCCAAAAATGCGAGCCTGCGAAAACCTCCGTAAAATGTCAGTGATCTCAAAT